CTGGGTGGACTGGAGAGAAGCATTCTACACTGTCTCAGAATCAGAGGAAGCTGTTGAGATCTGCATCACTGCAGTAGGAGCCAATACTCCATGTCCCAGCACTCAGTCTTTTCAGGTCACCCTTTCAACCACTGATGAAAGTGCAGGTATAGCTATATTGCTTGATTATATGCTTAGTTAAAATCACTAGCAGAAACACTGTTCTTGCTCTAGTGAGCCCTTCAGACTATGAAGCCCTGAGTGAAGTGTTGACATTTGCTCCCTGTGACACCCAACATTGTGTGAATGTGATCATCACGGATGATCTGGTGAACGAACCAGAGGAGACATTTTCCCTCAGTCTCAATAAGCTGACATCATTCGTAACTCTCAGTACAGCTGCTGGAGAGGTGCTCATTACTGATGATGATGGTAAGGAGTGTTTAAAGCCAAGGACAAGTTTAGTGGTAATGAACAGGATTTCCAAAAAAACTCTCTACTTGACTAATGTCATTTAAAGTGTGTTTCTTACCTGCAGAAGTTGTTACTGCAGTAAAAAGTGTGTTCATACCTACAGATAAACCAGAAGAAGTCAGGTTCCTCCCAGTGAATGCCACAGCAGTCAGGATCTCCTGGAGTGGCAGTGTCCACCTCTCCACCTCCATCATCTACACTGTCTATTGCTCCACTATAATTATGAGACAGTATGAGAGGGTTTACTCACATGGAGTGACTTTTGCTGACATTGTTCTGGAAGATGACATCACTCTGACTGATATATACGTTCACAACTTTACTCTTCATTACATACTTCCAGATGATGTCACCCCAAACCAGACTGTAGCAATCTTTACTTTCGGTAAAGGAGTTGTTAGTCTCTGCTTTCGGATTTAGTCACATTGTGGTTTCTCTCTACAGATAAAGGTGTCTTTCAGGTTCAGTTTGGTCCAATTTACTACTGCCTCGACTCAGTAGTAAGTTTTTTTTTATAGAACAAGCTTGCTCACTTTTTTGTTTTATTTCTTAGTTCAAGAAGATTGATCGTGCGATTGAAGAACAGCTACAATTGTACTTGATTGACATCATACGTAAAAGTTGCCCTGAGTGTTACAGTTTAACACTTACATTTCTGAGGCCAGGATTGTTTCTTTGCCATGGCAACCCCACTAAAACAACCTACCGCACCACTCTGGCTAACCCTTTCCCCACCACAAACT